TCCTGAATTCACGTAGGTGGTCTTGATGTCTGCATTGCGCACGAAAGGTAGGGAACCGCATTAATGTTCTGAGAGTGTGTAGATGCAGGCCCAACCATGTCTTGGTGCTGAAGTCTCCAGAAATAAGTTAGTAGGCTTGGTCTTTTTAAGGACTGTTTGCAAAAGCAAACTTTTATCTGACCAAACAAGGAATATTCTTCTGTAAAGACAATATAGCTCTTTGTCAAACCACTGTTTGAATGTGAAAAATACAAACCCCTTGGCATTTTGAACCCATAGTGCCAAATAAGAAAAGCTAGGCCAAAGATTCATCTCAGATCACAAGCTACGTAAATGTAGTAGCCTACTTAGTGTCCTGGGAATGTTCAGCTATTCAAGATGCATGTAATAGTAGAATCGTTAGGTCTTTGTGGGTCAGGAGCAAGGTGCCTTGCCAGAACTACATGCAGTAATTTGGACAGGGCTTAACTGCCTTTAGCTTGAATTTCCAGTCCCTCTCTTTCCTGAAGGGTTACTTCACCACTGCTGTTTTTTTCCTTAAAGAACTTTTAAGACAACCAGGTTTTTTTCCAGTGGAGCATCATGTTAGGTACTCTGCAGCTGGAGAGCAGGTAGCATTAGCAATCCAGACCACAGCGTTTAGGGCAGATTTGAGAAAATGTCCTGTTGCTGTTTAGAACTCTTCGTCTGTTTATAACGATTCTCTGCTTCCCTTCCTTTTAGGAATGCCTTTGTATTTCGTCACATAGGTAATTGCTCTGTAGCAGTCATTGTTTCTCAAGCACAATGTCTGCAGTTTCCTATTGGTTGATTTTACTCCATGTGCAAGTAGAGTATATTCAGGTTGTAAAAGATACAGGGGTCAGGTTACTTTATGGGTCTGATCTTGCATTCTTCAAGTCAGCAGAAGCTTTGCTATGAGGCTCTTTGCAAATAACACGTTCAGAGTATTTGCCCAGACGTGGCTGCCTCAATCAGATATCTGCATCTCTTATATATGCATATGTTTTTCTCTCACTTTTAAAAATGTCTAATCATTACCCTGGTGGCAGCAGAGAGTGGATTATCTACCTAGGACCTTCTCTGTTTTGTTAATAGTGTCTTCTCATTCTGCCCAAAGCAGCTGTGAGGCCAAGAAAAATTCCATGAAACAGCCCAGAAAAGCAGAAGAGAGAATCAGGACCTATAATCTCTGCATATAATTAGTCTGAACAAGTTAGATATGTTTGTAAATGCTTGAGAATTGCATCTTTAGCTTTGTAGTGTAAAATGTAAATTATTCAAGCCATTGCCTTTAAAGACGTGGAGTTTCAGGATTGCTCTTAGTGGCTGTTTCCGATAGTCACTTGGTAGACACCTTGCTACTTTCCTGTGATATATTTAGCTGTTAGTGCATTTTGTTGCAGTCTTCACTTCTTGTTTATCCCATTACAGATTCGCTATATTTCGCAAACTCAGGGCCTACCAGCAGAGTATCTTCTGAGTGCGGGAACGAAAACGAGCAGGTTTTTTAACAGAGATCCGAACTTGGGATACCCACTGTGGAGACTAAAGGTTTGTCTCGTTTTTCAGCATCCTGTTCTCTTACGTTTGTTAAGGCCCAATCCACTCCCATTGTTATGTAGTATCAGTGTGTTCTGAAAGAATCCCGGAGCTCTTGCTAAAGGTTAGGTTGCAAATGTCATTCTAAATGTGAATTGTAAATGTCCTTTTAGAACCTACATAAACTCCTAGCGTGTCTCTAACGATAGCAACTCGGAGCAATAGTGACAGCAGAGAGTGGGAGTTAAAATTATGTAGATAATGGCCATTTATTATGGCCTGCACTGTCTTCATGACAAAGATGACAGTCCTCACCTCCCAAACAAGCCTGAAAGTAAAATCGAGCCTATTCCATGGGAGGATCTATTAGTTAAATTGATTTTTAGTTCAGAACGATGTACATGTGGGGGAATATGGTGAATAGATGTAAGGTCTTTGTGTTCTTCAAAGATGACCTTCACAGTAAAACCAAATTGAGTTAGTGTCCTTTTTTGCTTTTTTATAAAGGAAGTGAAAAAATGTTTTTACTAGTGTTTGTCCTAAATAAGGAATGCCAGGTTTGACTTTCATGGTTTTCCTGAGAACTCCTTAATGGACCTAATACAGGGGCAGGCAATTAGTTCGGGCGGAGGGATGCTTACTGAGTTTTGGCAAGCCAGCAAGGGCCACATGACAGGCAGCCAGGGGCAGATAAATATTAATTTTCTAAATTTTTTAGGGGCCTCGCAGGTTGGATAGAATGGCCTGGCGGGCCACATCTTGCCCACCCCTGACCTAATATATAATGCAACTGCAAAATCACAAGCAAGAGACAAACTTAGGCCATTCAGGGGGTGAAGCACTTTTAATTGAGCTGATAAAGGCTTTTTGGAATTGAATAGGTGTAAAAACAATCTCCTGGTGAACTTTTGGAATAAAGGGGCTCTCTCTGTGAAAGGGTCATAACACGTGTGCTCTTTCTTTTGAGGGATGAGAAATTTCTGAGTCTGATTCTTTTAACAAAAAAGGGGAAGGAGAATTCTCAATAGTACTGATGTTTTGAAAGGAATAAGCAAAGAAAGCAAAAACCAGGCCTCCTGTATATCATAGGAACAGAAACATTCAGAGCCCCCTGCCTTTCTGGTCCCCTTATACTTTATTTTAAGTGACTCATTCTGGCTGGTGGCCAAACCCCAGATTCTCTTGCTTTATGTGATCTTGAACACCCCTTCAGTTTCTGGCATTCACTTTGGATGCCTCCTCCTGGGATGATGGTGCAAGAGATAACCATAGTTTGTTATTGAACCAGTGGTGAAGTTTGTATGACCACATTCTCCTCTAAGACAGTGCTTCAGTTTTGCAGAGAGTGATGCCCACCCCCACAATTTCATACCCCTGATTCAGGGAGCAGGGATGGTGGCTGGTTACTTCTTCCTCACCTGTAAATGATTTACTGTACAACAGGCAGAATGGTAAGATGGGTGACCCTTTGCTCGCTGGCTTGCGTTTTTATTTCAGTAAGATATTGGAAAGTTTCCAGTTTCCTGACAAATATTTTATTTTATAGACTCCAGAGGAACATGAGTTGGAGACGGGAATAAAATCAAAAGAAGCTCGGAAATACATATTCAACTGTTTGGATGACATGGCGCAGGTGAGCTATGACAGCTGCTGAAGAATGAATAATGCTGCTGTGTCAGACACTGTCCTGTAAAGGGCTGGGGACACTTGAGAAAGAAACCATTGGGACCCAGAACTGCTGGCAACACTGGTCCTTTTTCTCTCCCATTGTTGTAAAGAGGTGCAGCTCTGCCAGTGGCGGCACTAGAGAGAGTGCATGTGTAGCGAAAGCATCTCTGATGTTTCACCTGGTCAATTTGGTACCTTGACTACACTGGAGCTCCTGCCACAGTTGCTAGAAAAGCCTTCAGGAAAAGGCCAGTGCAGATGCAAAACAGCATCACGAATACTTGGGCTCCCATTCAGCTTCGTCTGATTCTGAGTTGTGGAAGCCATTAGCCATTGCTTGTCCTGTCTTAAGCCCATATTCTGCAAACACAACACGTGTGCTTAGTTGTAAGACTGTGTGCATCCACATTACAATCACTGGCTGGTGGAATTACCCACATGCAGATGTGTTCATTGGAGAGCTTAGCGTGAGGGTGGTTCAGAGCAGCAGTGCTGATCAGGGCTTAGGGTGACACACCTGACTCATGGATTTAGTCAGCAGTGGCAGGTGTACGCCGGCATCCACTGCCTCGTTTTTTTTTCTCAGGTGAATATGTCTACAGACTTGGAAGGGACAGACATGTTGGCAGAGAAGGCTGACCGAAGGGAGTACATTGATTTGTTAAAGAAAATGTTGACAATTGATGCAGACAAGAGGATCACTCCGCTGAAGACTTTAAACCATGCATTTGTTACAATGGCCCATCTACTGGATTTCCCACATAGCAACCAGTGAGTTGATGGCACTTGCACGTTCTGTCTTGTTGGGTTGTTTCAGAATGAAACAGCGTGGTCTAGGACATCAGCTCTAGTCCCCTCCTGTCAGATCAGCAGTGCTCTAGAACTTCAGACTGATCTGCCAGTTAAACAGGAGTAAACAGCCTCTCTTGTGCTTCCTGTTCTTTTAGGCAGCTTCTTCCAGTGCAAAAGACATAGCCATGATTTTTTTCTGTCCCACTTGTTAGGGGCCCATTTATCTAACTTTACCAAAACTGACATTCTTTGGTACCATGATACTAAAGGCAGACACGTTTCCATGTATAGAAGTGTTCTGGAACCAAAATCCTGTGGAAACCCTCTGCTTACCGCCAATTGTACAGTGCATCCTGTTGTGGTATGTCTCATATTTCCCATCACTCCTTCTTTTTCAGTGTGAAATCTTGCTTTCAGAACATGGAGATCTGCAAAAGGAGAGTAAATATGTATGATACAGTGAATCAAATAAAGAGCCCGTTCACAACACATGTGGCTCCTAATACAAGCACAAACCTTACAATGAGCTTCAACAACCAGCTCAATACAGTGCACAATCAGGTATGATTCCTTAGGTCTGGTATATTGATCTGAGATGCAGATGAGCAATGTTTATGGTGCTATAGGCCACATCCTGCTTTGCAGAGTAACTCCACTAAAGCTGGGTATTTTGCATTCACGCTTATGCAGCTGAGCAGAATTTGACGTGATATCAGTTGGGGCTGTGATGCTGCTATATGAAAACAAGTTACAGGTTTTTGGAACTAAGTGATCAGGTATGGTTGCTACATAAGAATTCTGTAGTTCCCCCCACATTTTTAATAGCGCACTTGACCTCCTAGCTTAATGTCTGAGTAAGGAACAGTTACAGCAGGTAGAGATGTGGCAGGTCTGTCCATGTACAGCTTCTAGCTCCTTGAGGGCAGCCTTGTGCAGTTACAGGTGGTGTGTCTCCTTCAAGCCAGCCTGGTATTTGATTTGTGAATTTTCTCTCCTGAGCACCCAGGCTGGCTTTGCAGTTCCATTTTCCCTGCAGCTGACAAGGCTAAATCAGCACAGAGGGTTTATTGGCTCTGTTCTTGTTGGCCTGGAGTTCAGAAGCATGAAGAGTAAAACCAATAACTGGTTCAGATACAGCTTTTCCTCAGGTTCTGTTTCCTGCCTTAACTTTATTTTAACACTTGGCCTGCTGCCTGACTTTGTGATGTGGCTCTGATGACCACAGTTGTTTGTTTTTGGAAACTGAGTTATTACAGTACAAATGTCCTTATATACCCGCCTGAAATGTTTTATTTTCTAGGCCAGTGTACTGGCTTCCAGTTCTACCGCTGCTGCTACTCTTTCCCTGGCAAACTCGGACGTCTCGCTGCTAAACTACCAGTCTGCTCTGTACCCATCGTCTGCAGCTCCTGTTGCAGCAGTGACACAACAGAGTGTTTCCTTACAGCCTGGAACCACACAGATCTGCACGCAAACTGATCCATTCCAGCAGACATTCATTGTTTGTCCCCCTGCTTTTCAGAGTAAGTGAAGAGGCTCATTGCTTCAGCCAGATGAAAATGAGACCAGAGCTGGGACTGAGGCTAGGAGGAGAGACTGCAGGAGATCATTTTGTGCATTTCTTGCATTACTGTCACATGTAGTTACCATCTCACACATAGCGTGAAATTGTTTTAGTCAGGTGTGCCTTTTCAGTAGGTGTATGTGTGCGAACACTTAGTTCGTCTTCTCCTGAATGCTCTTGAGCAGGTACAGACAATGGATCTGCCTGGTATGCAGTCACCACTCACTTGGTTACCCGGTCTGTTTTCCCCACAATTCTTACGAGAGTGTTCCTTAGAAAACAACGAGCTCATAGGGAGTTTGATCTGTTTGCAGTAACAAAGTACTAAAAGTGCTCTCCTTGCCTGGAAAACACTTATATTTTCCTGACCCGGCATCCTGTTTGGCCCTGTACAGACCCAAACTTACCAACAGCCAAAAGGAATTTCTGCTGAAAAGGACATTTTTTCAGTGCTTTAAGTACCTGAAACTTGGACATGGAATAGAAATCCCTCTTTAATCCTACCCAGGAATCTGCCATTGTGGAGCTTTAATTAGGTTAACTTCCTGAGTGGAGCAGAAGTGTATTTTTAGGCCAGGATTTCTTGACATTAAGGGCATTCAGAGAGACTGAATGTTCAGAAAAGGCTTGGAGTTCACACAGGTGCTGTCAGCCAGAATTGCATCTTAACAGCAGTTGAGTCCCTCATATTTCAGGCATGGGAATCTCAGTTCACAAGTACTGACACTTGTGCAGTGTGGTGGCAGGAAGTGGAACACTGATGGCATATAGCTAAACAGAGCAAGAAGTACACTGCACTGATCTTGAAAGTGTCCCCATTTTAGTTTGTACCCCTGGCTTGCATTAACCTGGCAGTTACAAATGAAGCAGGAGTTCCTGATATAGTGTTTGGGATGCAGGCTATCAGGGGGAGGTTCACTCTTGTCCTCAGGGGACTGCAGATGTACCCAGTGCTTGTGGACAGTTCTTGTCACATGTCAGTAAGGTGTAACAGGGACAGTGCCTCTTCTGAAGGTGAAGAAATCCTCAGACAGTGAGGCCAGCCAAAGGTTGTCTAGGTGGAGTGATGTATCCAGCTGATTTGAAACTGAACATGCCAGTATTGTTGTTAACTCAACACTTTTGTTCATAAGGAAACATCAGACTTGGCAGAGCAGCACTGGAGAGCAGCGAGGCTGAATTGCAAGTGCCAGTTTTGGCACAAGGCAGGGTAGATTTGCACTTTATAGACTAACTAAGCCAGAGCTGTATAGCCCAAGCTTTTGTGAGCCTGAGCTTGCTCCATCAGTTGCTGTCAAAGGACATGCACAGATAAATGTATTAAATGGCGAGAGTGCTTGAATACAAAAGATAGGGGGAGGTGAAGGCGAAATACCTCCTTACAAGCAGTGGGCAGAGAGTAAACAGCATGGACAAGAACATTTTAGACATGTGGATTTAAACCCTCAGAAAAAGTAAATGCAAGACAGTATGATGAGAAGGTACTGTGCCCCTAGGACAGTGGGGTCATTTTCTCACATACCTGAACAGGTGCATTCTTTCCCTGCTACATGGCAGCACCTTTCAGATACTTTTAGAGGAATGTCTTCATTTGGTTGCTACTTCAGTTATTTAATAAGTAGAGATAAAGCCCCTAATTTGGGAGCAGTTTGAAGGTGACATGCTTCCAAGTGCGGTACATAGGGGTTGTGGACAAACAGAGACTTTTATATTCATCTGCTGTCCTTCTGCTCTCGCGTAGCAGGAATTAGACTGTGAGAACTATCTGAATAATGAGGAAGTGTGTTAACTGTAACTGGTTCTTGTTCCAAACAGCTGGACTCCAGGCGACCACAAAGCATTCTGGGTTCCCAGTAAGGATGGAGAATGCCGTTCCCATTGTACCACAGGCACCTGCAGCGCAGCCATTGCAGATCCAGTCAGGAGTCCTCACGCAGGTAAAACTGGAGTTAGTTTGAATTCCGGGCAGTGGAAAACATGAGTCCAACTCTGGCCCCTGCATTGGGGTGGCGTGCAGGTCTGGGGGAAGGCGGGAACGACTCTAAGCGCATTACTAGAAATCTCAGAACACTCCGGGAGCTGCAGCCCAGGTCTTGGTGTTTTGCTGTGATCTCAGGAGTCTGAGTCTCGTTTGTTACTGGGTCATTTGACATTGGTTCTCCGGAACCGGAGCTGGCGTGTGCTAAGTGCCAGCCACGGGGGGCTCAGAGAGGTTTGTGAGCCACTCCCAATACTGGGGTCTGAGAGAAAGGTGCCCAGCAAATCCTTAAGGGAGAAAAGTCAGGGGGAGAAGTTTGAACGTTTTGAACATCCCTTGCTGACTCAGGAGTTTAGCCTTGAATAGTGGGCTATATAATATAGGCAATCCTGTTGTTTGTAGCATGCTGCGTTGACCTGTATAGACTTGTCAGTACACATAAAGCAGCATATATACTGAAAACTAAGACAGCAGATTCAACAGAAAAATAATTTGTCCATTCAAATGACCTGTCACATGAGAAGAGAGATCCCAACAGACAGAAGTAAAGTTTTGAATTACAGATGCATTATTTCCATCTTTAATTCAGTGAAGTTACTTCTGCATCCTCTTTTTTGGCATAGTCGCATCCTTAGCATGAGTGGACATGTGGCACTGATAATATCTTCCCTTAAGTTATTTCTAGGGTAAAACTAGTGTGCAATAAGATGTCATAATTAATTTTGAATGTTGGGGTTTTTGCAAGATAACAGACTATATATTTCAAACACTTATATGTTCTGTCATAAAAAAACAAAGTTATGCTTAGCGAAACAGTATCTCTCTGTCTTGAATGTACAGTGGGTCACAGTGCTAAGCATTTTTTCATACATGTAGGTACTAAAGTATCTGTAATCATCATTATGGATAATACTATAATTCCATGTGTTTGCACAGTCACTCAGTTTCTGTTGACATTTACATAGGGAAATAGTGTGCATACGCTGTTCATTTTACTAGCTGGGAGGTCCAAGGGAAGTGGATTGCTCTGAATGATCTAGTCCCACAGGAGCCATTTTTAGTTGATCAGTTGCAAATTTGTGTGTCCGGTTCAAAAAATGGTTGTGGCATTGGGTGGTGCCTACATTTTGTCTCGCATAATTACACAGGTGATTATACTAAATGAAGCCAGCATGAAGCAGACCCCTCCTGCTGCTTCTCAGCGTGAAATACCAAACTAGTTCAAACATCTGTCTCTAAATACGATGGTTCATTGTCTAGTTTTGTCTCTTGGCAGTTACATCACAATCGGTGTTAATCTGAATCAAGGCACCTCTGATTATTAAAAGCCTTTAGTTTAGCCTTTCCCAAAGAATGCTGCACATGAGAAAGCATGCTTTTTGATATACCCTTTGTATCACGTCAAGGGTTTCCCATGCACCACCATGGTCCAGGTGAGGACGTACAAAGAGAAAGTATAAAGCACAGAGCTGGACTGTGTTTCCACCTGGGGCCTATGCACCATAAGGTCTGGGACACACAACATCAGCTCACAAGAAGCCTGTTCCCACATTCCAGGACGGCCTCCCTAAAGTTGCCCAGGGTCGGCTTAGTGCACCTGAGGGGCTGAGTATGGGTTTGGATGTGTACCGCTGAGTTCTGCAAGCCACTCAGGAGCACCAGTGGTACCAGGGGGTGAAAGCCTTCGTGGCTCTATTGCTGAACCCAGTTGACCTGCCTCGGTACGTTTGTTTCACTCACTGCCTAATCTGCGTTTCAGGGAAGCTGTACACCACTAATGGTAGCAACTCTTCATCCTCAAGTAGCCACCATCACGCCGCAGTATGCGGTCCCCTTTACTCTGAACTGCGCAGCCGGCCGGCCAGCGCTAGTAGAACAGACGGCTGCAGTACTGGTAATTGCCTCCCTTGATTGTGTTCACTAACGGAGTTTTTGTTTTAACTTAGAATTGCAGAGGGCATGGAAGCATGTGCCATCTTGTGGCTGTGTTCTTGCTACATCTTAATGTCTTGTTGTTTTCCTCCCCAACATTGCTGAAGCACTGTCTGACTCTGATGTTTAGTGTGGCTCTGTAAAGAATCCTGATCCACTGACTGTTGCTCTTTGCTAGCCTAGAGCTATCAAGCTCTTCTCCTAAGCCCTGAAGAGCTGTAATAGTACTTGTTCTTTGCTTACTGTCCTATCTTTACCTTTCAATTGTCAAGAACAAAGGAAAAGCCCTTAGCTTGACTCTGCTACAGGTACCTGACTGGCCAGAATTTGAAGCACTTGGCAAGTTAGCTGTTTGGGGTTTTCTTCGTTTGTTTTAATGTTCTAAAGCTTCTTTGCATGTAGAAAAGTTGCAGGTGATTAGGATCAGGCTAAAACCACTAAGAATAACAAATGCTTTTTAATGTATTGCTTCAGCAGTCAAGATCTCGTACCCCTCCTCGAACAAGAACAATCATTCTCTGGCCTTTCATTATCTAAAACCAATCCCAGGCAGCTTGCATCATCCAGATAAAGATGTTGCTCCCCACAGATGCTTTAGTTCTTACTGCATTTTGTGGTTGAAATTAAAGGTGAGCTCTAGCTTCTAAAAAGGCAACAGTTTCTCAGGCTAGTTCACATTGAGCAAAACAGTGATTTGAAAGGGTCTGTGGGGAGATGAGAGCAGCTGTTTTCTGAAACTGTACGCTTTCAAAATTGCCTCCCTCTGAATGTATCTGGTGTCTGCATCAGAGCTGACCCTGCAGGTGCCACAAGTCAATCAATGTAAAACCCCAGAATCAGATCAGTGAAGCTTATTGAAACATTGCAATGCACTTGAAGTCGTGGTGTCCTCACATGTCTTTCAGAGCACACTCCATCTCCGACATGAACCATGTTGTCTTTTGTGGCTTTAAAGTGATACTTTATGAGTATTGTTTTTCTTCCAAGCTGGAGACCGCTTCTGGCCAGAGCCAGGCCCTGGTTGAGGCTAGTGATTAAAACTGCCTGTATGAGCCTCTGTCACCAGCTGTAGCACAGATTGCCCCTCATTTCTGAGGATGGGCAGGCTGGGGAGTGGGTTCTGGGAAATCCTAGCTGTCTGTGCTAAAAGGCCCAAGGGATCGTGTCTCCTTCCCCCTCTTTTCACTCTCTGCCAATGGGCTGACACCCCAGCTCTCAGAGAGGCAGCCGCCACTGCCGCAGAGCATGGGCCACCATCAGCAAGAGCGACTCGTCCAGGAGGGCCTTTGGGTTTCTGAGCCAACAGGCAGATTAGACCCATTTTTCTATCTTTGTGTGGAGGACTTGGCTCAACACTCCCCTGCGCAGTGGTAGGAGGCCAGAGCCATCTGTCTTCAGACTGTGAGCCCGGGTTGTGAGTTTCTCCAGAGACTTGAACGTTTCCGTGGGGCTGTCTGCAGTCTCTGCCCGAGCTGCTCACCTGTAGTGCTTCTGACACTTCTCCCCTTGCTGCTTCACCTAAGTTTGCATTAGCCATTTGCTCAGCTTTGCATATTTTTGTCCTTCCTCTGTCAAAACAGTTCGTCGCTTGGAAGGCCCGATTTCTGCCTCCCGTGGGGAATTTAGATCTTGCTCTGTATTAAACTCTCTGCTTTGTCTTGTGCAGGTGTTGGCTTTTGGAAAGACGCATGGTGTGACTTTTAACATATTTCTCTTTTTTTATTATTCCGCTTACGTTGGCAGAGGTGTTAGCCGTTCTCTGCTCGCAGGCTTCTTGTTTGGAACCCGTCTTGTAGCACGTGGGTCTGTTCCTTGCAGAAATGTTTTGTTTAAAGCAGCCTGTGTTTATGGTTTTGCAGTTTAGACTGCAAGAAACAGAACCACGTGTGTTCAACACCCTGGGAGATATTGTACTGCAGAGTGCCATTTGGCATGGACATGTCTACATGTCGCCAGTGTCGAGGGAAAAGCCAGGGCCCCTGAGCTCAAAGCGTGTGCGTGTGGGGTGGGATCTGACATAAGACCAAGCACCTCTTGCTGGGCTAGTTTTTTTTATGCAGTGACTGTTGACACCCTGCACAAGTAGTTGAATGTGAGTGGGGGCAGTGCTATATTTATAACCAAGCAGTAATTCCCGGCTCATGTCACGCTGCATGGTAGCAAAATGACGATGCTTTCAAGAGAGGTTGCAGGCTCCAGGTACTCCAAGGAGCCGGCCCCTTCTTTTACTGCCGTCAGTCCTAGTTTTGTTTCATTTTTTGACACGTCTTCCTCATAGTTTCTGAAAGCTTGGCCCAGCCCCTCCTTGAGATCTGGTCTTGGGGGATATGGGCTGTCCTGCCTTTCTGCCCGCTGCAGGATGGGTTGTGGAGAGGGTTTTGCTTTCCTGTGGTGAGTACTGTGAAGGAGAAGCTGACTGGGCAAAGCTCCCCCCCCAGCAAAAGTCCTTCATTGCACTGCATGCAAAACTGTCCCAGGCACAGCTGTTTGGGAACAGTGGCCTCAGAGGTGCTAAGCAGAAATGATCCCTAGTATGTAGGTCAGGATCCCCTCCCCGCTTCCTGGCACCCTTTCTGCAGTACAATATGGACACCGCCCTTCTCCCCAGGTGACACCTGTGATATCTGAAGTGGACAAACGGGCTGGGGAAGCTTGTGTCTCTGGTTTTCTCGTTCCCTTCCATAGTGAGGCCCTTTGAGGAAGTGCAGTCTGTGCCTTTGTCTGCAAGTTAACACGCTGCGCAGTTGACCCTATTGTTTCGAACAAGTCTTTTCTCCCCTCTCAGTGGAGTGGAGCTTTGTGAGCCCCTTTGTCAATTTGCTGTTTTGCAGCAGGCCTGGCCTGGAGGCACCCAGCAGATCCTGCTCCCTTCCACCTGGCAGCAGCTTCCAGGAGTTGCTCTGCACAACTCCGTACAGCCCACCGCTGTGATCCCAGAAACAATCGGAAGCAACCAGCAGCTGGCAGACTGGAGGTAAGGGGCCTGGTTAATGCAGAGGCTGGTTCTGAGCCCCTGAAAGGGATGGAGTAACGTTAAGGGACAAGCTTGTCCTTTGCTGCCAGCTTTCGGTGTCACCTGAGCCCGAAACCTACCTCTGTCAGGGGTGTGGCAGCCACTGATGTGTGACCAGACACATCCCCCCCCCCTCGCCCTAGCAGGCTTGTTAGCGGGCGGTTGCTCTTTAGTGGATCCAGTAGAAGCTTGAGCTGCTGAACGACCACAAACCCCAACTAGAAACTCCCGCCCCACACCTCTGTACTGCATGGCAGGTTCAGACATGCACAGCCCGGGGGGCCTGCAGAGTGGCCGCAGTGCTGGAGTCTGTCTCTCTGCCCCTAGGAATGCACATTCCCATGGAAACCAGTACAGCACCATCATGCAGCAGCCCTCCTTGCTGACCAACCACGTCACCCTCGCCACGACCCAGCCTCTGAATGTCGGAGTCGCTCACGTTGTCAGGCCGCAGCAGAGCAGCAACGTGCCAGTAAAGAAGAACAAGCAGCCAGCCCAGAGCACAGCAAAGTAAGGCTTCCTCTCCACTGCCCCCAGTCCCCTGTGAGGGGTATGCAGAAGGCACCCTGCAGCCCCTGAGTCCCATGTCAACAAAGGTGTGACCTGTCCCCATTTCTAGATTGCTACTGCTGTGTAAAGGGATATGAGTAGCTAAGGGCTGTGGGCCAAAATCCTTGTTGAGCTGCTTCAGTGCCAGGCCTTCCGCTATCTGTCTCTAAGCAGCAGTTCAGGGCATGGAAAAAAACGGTTTCTAGGGGCTACTGTGGTATCCACTGTGACTTGGCCACTGACCCGCGCTTCTGTTCGTTCCCGTGGCTCCCTGCAGGCCCAGTGTGACCCTGGAGGCGATGCCATCCCAGGTGTACTCGCTGATTGGGAGCAGCCCCCTTCGCACTGCCTCTTCCTCCTCCAACACGCTCGTTTCTGTGCCGGAGCAGCACCAACCTATCGTGATCCCCGACACTCCCAGCCCACCTGTCAGTGTCATCACCATCCGCAGTGACACCGATGAGGAAGAGGACAGCAAGTACAAGCCTGCCAGGTAGTGACTTTAGCCTGGCAGCCAGTGCCCTGAGCATGGCTCAGCCAGCGCCCTCCATCTTTGGGCCTGTGGAGCACTAATGGGAGGGGATGTGCTAGGGTGGGAAGGGCCCTGCTGCTAGTCTGGCCAGGCAGCGCTGTGCAGAACCCCTGCCAGCCTTCGCTTGCTTCCACATCACCGGTAAGTAGACTAAGCAGAAAAGCTGTGCAGAAGGATGGCGCAAAGCACCTGGCTCAAGCATGCTCCCTGGATAGGCCTTGCAAGGCCATGCAGGTGGAGTTCAACCCTTTGGTGCTTCCTCCTCTTAGCTTGGGCATGAAGCAGCGCTCCAACGTCATCAGCTATGTCACTGTTAATGACTCCCCGGATTCAGACTCCTCCCTGAACAGCCCGTATACTGCAGACCCGCTCTCCACGCTCCGGGGTGCGGGAAACGCACTGGAGCTGCCCAGCAGGGGAGCAGCTGACAGCTCCAGCTCTCGCACCATCATCATGCCTCCTCTGAAGACACAGCTGAATGACTGCATTGTGGCCACCCAGGCCTCAGGTAAGTACGCTGTGCATCCAGTGCCTGCCTCTCCCTGCCGTGTTGCCAGCAACCTGCGCTATCTCCACTCCTTTCCTGCCCACTACGTCTTAGGTCATAAGCAGCTTTCCCATCATGATGGCTGCTGCTTTCGGGCTGTGGAAACCTCAGTTCATTTTCAGTGTCTCAGAATAGACTGTTTCGACAAAGCTGTTGGCTGTATTTCCCAGGTCTCTGTAAACGTGCCCACAGGTTATTTGTTTGCCTGAGCATGAAACTGTAACTAGAGAAGTCAGTGTGTAACCCAGGGGCCTGTGCTGGTTTAAGATGCACGAGCTGGTAAAACAATTTCTTAACTGTGGCAGGGAGGAAATGGACTAAGTTGCTGATGTTTTTCAGGCATCCTCAGCAGCACCAGTAAGAGCAAGCCAGTGGCATCGGTGAGTGGGCAGGCGTCTGGGTGCTGCATAACGCCGACGGGGTACCGACCACACCGCGTGCTGAACAGCGGCGTGCAGCCACTCAACCTCAGCCAGGTGAGCAAGGGTCCGGCCCTGCCTGCTGGCTTCTCTGCTCACACTCGGCTGGTTCCATCATGGCACCAAGGCTTGGCAGCGGGGAGCCCTGCTTCGGAAGCGCTGCCTTGGGCCAGGTCACAGGCACACTTTTGGGAGCTTTTGAGCCGAGTGGAGAGTCCCATCCTAGGGCCCTTCTATATGGGACAGACCACGTTCCCTTTTGAGGCAGAGGAGTTACTGCTTTTCCTGCCTGCAGGAGGGCCATGGGCAGCTCGTCCCATCGCCCAGCCGTTTTGCGTAGGAGGACTTGGTCCAAGCCTGCTTTGCTTCACTTCTGCCCTCAGTGGCAGCTGCTGCCTTGGGTCCTCCTGACCGCCTTTCCAGTCTCGGGAAGTCAAACAGAACTCCAGCTCCCAGACTCCGTGCACTAGCATGAGCTGGGGACAAGTACACAAACCCTGCCGCTGCCAGCACCGGTCGATCGCATGCTGCGTCTTGGTCTCACAGGTGCCGAGGGCCTGGGAGGGCTGTGCAGGAGCCCTCTCATGACTCCTACTCTCTCCCTCTGCAGAACCAGCAGACAACAGTGTTGGCCTCACAAGAGAGAAGCGGGAACCCGGCCCCACGCAGACAGCAAGCCTATGTTGCCCCGCTCCCGTCGACAATTTCTCAGGCTCCCTACGCCTTCCAGCACAGCAGCCCAGTGCACCCCCACCTGGCGGCAGCGACAGCCAGCACACACCTTCCCAGCCAGCCGCATATGTACACCTACGCGCCCACCACCGCTGCCACGCTGGGCTCTACCAACTCCATCGCTCATCTCTTCTCCCCTCAGGGCTCCTCACGGCACACGACCTATGCTGCCCACCCTAGCACTCTCGTCCACCAGGTCCCGGTGAGTGTCGGCCCTAGCCTGCTGACATCTGCAAATGTCCCGCCTGCCCAGTACCAACACCAGTTTGCTACCCAGTCCTATATTGGTGCTTCCCGCGGATCTGCTATTTACACTGGATACCCGCTGAGCCCCACAAAGATCAGCCAGTACTCGTACCTGTAACCCCTGCGTTCCCTTTGGTTTGTGGGGCTCAGGTTACTGTTGCTAGCCCCTTTTGGGTACAGCTGTCCTTGGCAATAGGCCTGCCTGGCTGAAGGAGGATTTCAGGTGACGTTTCTCTGGTGTTGACTGTGCTATTGTGGTCACCCCATGCCTGGTCGTGCTTGAAAGGGTCCCTGACTGGGGGTTTGGTCACTGACCGGGCAGCACCCTTTGTTACCAGTTAAAGGGGCACTGGCTAAGATTTTAAGCTTTCACTTTTTATAGATGCTTTTAAAAGGTCCCAGTCCCACCTATTTAAAGCTATTCTGTTGTTTTGGTAATCAGAGGGGAAGTGGAAATCAATGTCTTTATAGGCAAATGCTGATTTTTTTTAACTCATAATTTATACAAAGACTAGCAGATTATATTTTAGCAGCTTGCACAAATCCATATTGCCACTAAAAATGTAATGCACATTTATGTCAGTATGTTGCTAGAGCAGAGTTTAAAATTGAGTTGAATATTTTGCAGTTTGTTCTGTAGTTCACTTGCTTACTAGCAGATCGCCATTCCTGCAAAGCCCTTACATCTTCTTGTTTGGCCCTACCTGGAGTTTCCATTTATTTTCTGCTCGGTATAAGGGTACGGTAGAGGCAGCTACCTTATACTAGCACCGTAATATTCAGCAATCAGTTTGACCCATGACATCTCTGCTTTGTTTTCCTGGAAAGGCTGTGTTTCGCTAGTGCAGCTGAGTCTTGATCACTGCCGAAGCCATTCAGCTACGTTTTTCAGTTACATGCAAGAGCCCATGTGCCTTGCCAGAATGCGTCTTCTTCTGGTGAGAACGAGTTGCTGTGCTGTGCTGCTCTGCTCTCCCAAGTTGGATTTCTCTGGTGCACCAGGCACTGCCCTAGCATGGAGCCAGGTTCCTTTCCCAGAAGCACAGGGCTTTTCTCTGTTCTAGTTTTCTTTATCTTTTTCCTCGTATGATTCATTTAGGAGGGAGTTGAACAATTTGAAATACGATGAAACATCAGTGTATCAATGTGTACAGCTTTTTATACTCCTGTGAGCATATCATCTTGGGTATGCCGACAGCTAACTTCAAAGCGCTCTTATTAAGACTTGTATACAGTAAGTGCATGTAGGAATTGCAAAAAAAATCCAGATTTTAAAGTTTATTACTGAATTTCAAACTATTTTAGAAGTTTTGTATTGGTGGTGTTTTAATATTTTACATGAAAGGAAATATGTACATATTGATTAGAAAAAAATATAACAAGCAAAACTTCCTGCTAACCCCAAATGTTCTGTCTTTGTAATCAAAATGTGTAGTGATTATACTTGAACTCTGTACTTAGTGTTTGTCTAATTCTTTAAACGTTCCTGGGGATGAAATTGATGTATCCTTTGTATTTAAACCAAAATGAATTGATACATGTTGGAATGTATGTGAAATAATGCAATCGTTAGAGCTCATCACTGTAGCACTGAGAGAGAGAAGTGGAGCCTCATGAGAGACAAGGATACCTTCTGATTTGTTTTGCACAGGTATGTGTGATGAAGAGTTGTTTGGTGTGTCCCCTTATTGTAGTGCCTTAAATGATGATGTAGTGTGAATAGAGTTTACAGTGAGCTTGCCTTACGAGGGACCAGCAAGCCCCCGTCGAATTGAAGCAATTCACTAAGCTTATCACAGCAAGAATAGCAGTCTGTTGCATAGATGCAGTGTTCTCCGTTTAACGCTAACATAAACAGCGACATTTTTGTTGAGAGTGAAGCGCCGGTTCCTTAAAGCTTTTCCTTGAAATGGCACATATACTGTTAGCCGTCTGTCGATGCGTTCGCATAGGGTAGTGGCAGGACCGCCTTGGAATATTTAGTCTGATGTTGCGGAAGTGATGAAGGGTGTGCAGTCACTTTTTATTAGATTCAGTGCGGCATTACCTTCCCCCGTGTGACTAGCAGACATTCCTCGTAAAATATTGCTAGCTCGGTGATAGGATGTTTATACCAAAGAGAGCCTGCTGTAAAGCACATCGCATAACAATACCATTGCAGACTTTTATAATGCTACTGCTGTTGGGAAGGTGTATCAGCCATCGCACTGGTGTGTGAGGAAGTCCTCGGTTGAGGTAACCGGTGTGGTTTTTAAATGACACTTTGTTTCCTTGACTCCCTCAAACTAGGGTTTATTTCTTGACCTTCAGTATCTTGTCTCAGTGGCTAGTAAACTGGCTTAAGCCAGTGGTCTTACTGCAGCAATAAGAGGTTTTGGCGACCTTGAAACCCAGTTTATGTTCCGTCTGTATGGAAAACAAGCTAGGTCTCCCACCGGTTTGTGACAAGGTGTTGTCCAGAGGTGCAGTTTTCAGGTCTGAAAATCCATGTTGTTGGGATAGGAAGATCTAGGCTGGCCTGGTGCAGAGCGGCTGTAGAAGGCTTGGCATTTTCTGCAGGAAGAGGAGTAAGCGCTCTGGCACGACAGCAGCGGTTAGAGACCTCACGGACCCGGAGTCCTTGTTTAGCGTCGTTGTAGTCACCGCGCTCCTGTAGATGTGAGTGAGGATAAGCGAGCGACCTGTGTGTTTCACATTGTTGGCGTTAACGATGCTTTGTTGCTGTAACATGATCAGCACATGTTTTACTTGGTGCCAAGCACTTCCTTGTGTTTCCGTGCGACATGGCTTATGTGGAGTACTTTCCCTAGAGATACCTCTTGGATACAGAGTTGTGCCTTTCCATCCAAAGGCAGACTGAATCCAGCACCTGGCTGTGATGAAAACCTTTTACCCAGTGTCACAGACACAGCTGCTAAGGCAGCTTAGTGACAGTCCCCAAAAAAGTTCCCCCCAAAAGATGAAAGAGCCGCAGACCTCTAAAAGAACTGCCCAGCTGTGGGGAAACCGTGGGAGGAAGATGGGGCATGGGCAGGCCTGCGGTGCCAGCCCAGCCCGGTGCAGCCGCTTCCGCTGGCTGCTTCTGCCCTGCAGCAGTTGCCCCTGAATGAACCGGGCACGTTCCTGAGTTCCCCGCGTAGCTACTGCAGGCTGGGGGCACCACTTTGCGCTATGCTGCGGGAAAGCCCCCCTCCTTTTAAAGGGGTCTCACCGTTTCCCTTAAACAGCTGAAGCCAAATTTATCCACTAGGTATATTCTGATCTTTTCCACGGATTCACCTGTTCCCACTAGAAAAGGAGGGGTAGATGGGAAGTGCATTGATGAGATGTGACAGGCCCTGTTTAAAACAAGGCCTTGGCAATGGCTACATCAGATTTACACTGTGATATGCGCCGTCAAAAACAAAGGCTGCTCGGGCCAGCCTGTGGCCTCCTCCCTGGGTTTCTAGGGCTGGCCCGAAGCATCTTGCCCGTTCCAGCCTATCCTAGAGTTTCTGCTCTAAGGACGTGCATCCTTTCTCCCTGCGCAGATCCAGCTCATCTGGGTGCAGGTCAAGGGAAGCATTAAAGAAAGAAATCCCCTCACTGTCACGGCTGGCGTGTGCATTCTCTGTCAATGAACGTGCTGTTCCTGAATAGAAACCGAAGGCTTTCCTGACACTTCGGTTGTATTCTGGAAAGTCTGCCACGGGCGGAGCTCGGGATTGCTCTTCTGAATGTTCAATGACTCTGGTCCCACCTGGGTTTATCCTTTTGCTACAGACATGGTGTTACGTGGGAGTCGTCCCCACTAGCTGACTTGCGTTCACAGCCGTACTACCCGCTGCAGAAGCAACTTCCGAGCTGTCCTGCTTAGCCCCCAGTTGACTGATGCAGTAACTTACCTCTGATTCAGCCATTTTTTTAGTTCACAAAACTCAATTGCTTCTAAATGACAGGATTGGCACAGCCCTGCTTTCTTTTTTATTTAAACTTATGAATGGTGCCGCATGTCTACATGGTTGTTTGTTTGTTGCTAAACTTTATATAATGTGTGATTTCAGATTCAGCTTGAAATATATCTATCTCACTACATGTAGCAGTACATTATATGTAATGTTAGTATTTCTGCTTGAATCCTTGATATTGCAATGAAATTCCTACTTTATTAAATGTATTTGATATGCTAGTTACAGTGTGAAATTTAACTTTCTTTTATGGTTGTGCTCTTCCTTTTTACAAGCCGCTAGATACAGGTCGTTTCTGACAATTACTGATCTATGTTTGTATTGCTGATGTACTTAGGGGATATGTATAAATCATTTTAACAAAAGAAATAGATATTTAAAAATTTAATACTAACTATATGGGAAAAGGGTCCATTGTGAAAACATAGTTTATCTTTGGATTCAATGTTTGTCTTTGGTTTTACAAAGTAGCTTGTATTTTAAGTATTTTCTACATAACATGGTAAAAATGTAGAACAATTGCAATGCATCAATAAAAGGGTTAATTTTCTGTACTCCACTCATCGCCTATTCCTGACTCTCTGCAGAAAGAAAGACTTGAGCCCACCTGGGGTAGATCTGAGCAGGGCCCCTCTGAAGGCGACAGCCGGACCAAATGCTTTGCCCCCAGCACGCGTTCAGGTCGTTCCGCCCCAACCACGTTCTGAGCTGTGACGTGAGCAGATCCGTGGGCAAGACCCAGGTGCGCTGTCTGTGACTTGGAGCAGTGGCCAGAGAGGAGCAGGCAGGTCCTGGAGTAGTGGGATTCCCACAGATGTTGCTCTGGACTGTGCCCATGACCCGTCCTGGGCAGAACTGGCCTCCCGCTCACCACCATGCGTCTGGGCCCCTTTTCTTGATTCTCCCCCTTGCCGAAGCAGTGCCAGCAGTGCCGGGGTGCCAGGCCAGCAGGCCCCGGGCATGTGTAATGATGCCCCGGAAGGGTCAGCTCCAAGGACCAGGCCTTAGGCAAGAGTCACCCAGGCACGTCCCCGGTGCCCACCCTCCCGCATGAGGCAGCGAGCGAGGCGCGAGCCAGGGACACACTGCCCCTTCTCTGCAGGGCTCCCAAGGCCAGGGCATCGCACTTGCTGTCTCAGGAAGGGAACAGGACCCTTTCACCCTGGTCCCCTCCTCATTTGAACCTCCTGGCTGCTGCCAGCGCCTGGCATCTCAAGAGGCAAGCTGCACGTGTCCTGCTAGGGGCTGGAGGACGGAGAGCTGCAGGTGGGTCTGCCTTCAGCCCGCGGCCGTGCGTGGCCATGATCCAGCGCAGGGCTGGGGACCTGTCCAGAGGGCAGAGGAGCTTGCATGCAGCCCCCGGGCTCGGAGGCCCCCGCACAGCCAAAGCAAGGCTCGCCTCCCAGCACAGGGCGGCGGAGGACGTCCCACAGCGGGGGGCCCTGGCCTGCCCCTCGCGCAGCTCCTGTGCGTCTTAGCATGGCGCAAGCTCGTTGGGGCGGTGAGTGGCGTCCTGGGCACAGCGCGGTGACCCCTGTACGAGGCCTACAGGCCTGGGGTGCTGGTCCGGGTATTGCCCAGTGGCTGCCTGGCTGGTGGCCCTTTGCCTTTTGGGGTCCCAGAGGCAGTGGCCTCCCCCACACTGGTTAACTGGTGAAAGCTGGGCCCAGAGGACACGGGCCCTGCCTGACAGCATGGGGCCTTGGCCACCGGGGCACGAGGCAGGCGTGGCCTGCGGACTTTCCTGGGGCTCCCTTTGCAGTGGGGCCAGTGCGTGTGCGCAGGGAAAGAGTCAAGGGGCCCAGAAGTGAGGGCCTGAGCCAGCCGGGGCCTGTGGTGCGCAGTGCAAGGCCTCTCCCCGTGGGTGCTGTGGGCCTGGGTCCAGGTCCAGGTCTCTCCCCTTTTGCAGGGAGGCGCCTTCCTCTTGCA